AACTCAGGGACCCACAGAGAGAACTGTGAAAACTGTTCCCAAGTAGTCAGTAGAAGCCAATCCCATTCATACACATGGTATTTTGCCTATCGTGCCGATAAACTTCAAAACCTGACCCTACTGCCTGCCATGTAGATTAATGTCCTCAATGATATTTAATCTTTCCAGGGCCCAGAAGGAATCTGTAACTGTCCAAATCTCTGGTGTGGGTAACCCCCATTCTGGGCACCGAGGAAGGAGAGTTAAGCAGATCCCCGGCACAATTAGTGTCTGAAGAATATCTTACTGCTCATTTATTTCCCTTTATTTATATAATCTCTTCACAGATAATCGTATCTCAGTGTCTAGTTGGAGGAATGTCTAGAGCAAACACATTGCAGAGCATGAACAAGGGAAAAACAGCCACACCAGGACAAGAATCAATGACCCAGGTGGTAGTGTCCCTGCCTGAAAGGGCATGTGCTACATGGCAGGTCTAGGCGGCAGCGTTCAGTATTGTAAAGATACCCGCTGTATGGCAGGCTCGGAGCAAGAGTCACTTCTCCTGAAAGGGAGTTATGGTAACTTGTGTTCAGTCTTGTGGAAAGCTGGCCTCAGGCTGGCAATCCCATGTATGCCTGAGGGCTTAAAACCCCTCCGGTATAATTGCACCTAGGTGGCTGTACACCGTCAGCTCTCTTGCCACTGTGCTGACTCAAAGCATTCTCCTACAGAAATCCTTAGTAGCAGCCTGCAGGTGGCTGTAGATCCTGTCAGCTCTGTTGCTACTGTGCTGACTCAGAGCATCCTCCTATAGAAATTCTCAGAAGTAGCCTGCCCGTAGATAAGAGATTTTGCACACTGCACCCTCCTTACTGTGCACTGCCCACCTCCTTAGGGGTGGACTCCTTGCTGCACATTGACCACCTCCTTATCTCGGTGACCTAATGGGGGTGGACCCTTCGCTTATTGTGCACATGACTGCATTGACCCTAACACTATCCTTAAGACAACCTCACTCACTATCCTTTCCCCCGGCTTGTACCTAATAAATACAGATGAGCCTGGACGCTTGGGGCCTCGCCTGTCTCTGCTTGCAGGTAGTGTTGGCCCCCTCCGAGCCCAGCTGCTCCTATCCAGTCCTTCGGTGTCCTGTCTCATTTCTCGGATCGAGTACCTCAGCACAGCAATAGGAGACGCCCCACAACCCTAGTAGGGCTGGATCCTACATCTGATAACACAACCATCAAAGGCAGACCCCACAGCAGAACCAGCAGCACCCTTGTGAGCCACCTACAACCCTTTTCAGCAACCCCAGAGGTAATCTCATCAGCTTGCGGACCCAACAAAAGGAAATCTTTACGGCTAAGCACGGTGGCTTGCACCTATAATCCCAGTACTATAGGAGGCCAGGATGGGTGAATCATGAGGTCAGGAGTTTGAGACCTGCCTGATCAACATGGTGAAGCCCCATCTCTACTAAAGATACAAAAATTAGCTGGGCATGGTGGCGCACACCTGTAATCCCAGCTACTCGGGAGGCTGAGGCAGGAGAATCGCTAGAATCCGGGAGGTGGAGGTTGCAGTGAGCCAAGATTGTGTCACCGCACTCCAGTCTGGGCGATAGTGACTCTGTCTCAAAACAAAACAAAAGGAGATCTTTACCTGCCAAAAGTAGTTTATAGAAACTGTAAGAGTTGTTAGATCCTTCATATGTACAGACCTGGGGCTGTTTCAGGGACCACAACTGAGGCCAAGATCTGCAAGCATGCCTTCAGGGCCATAGCTTCCATCTTAACATATTACTGAAACTTTGTATCAGAACACTTAGGCAAGGAAAATAACAAAGCTCTCCAGCTTGGAATAAAAGTAAAAATGTAACTGTTTGTAGATAATAGGATCATGGATATAAATAAAACCCTAGAGTAAAACAACAAAAGCTGAACTAATAAATACATTCATTAAGGTATCAGGATAAATAATCAACATACAAATACTTGTGGGATTTTTTGTTTGAGACAGGGTCTCACTCTGCTACCCAGGCTCATCTCAAACTCCTGTGTTCAAGTGATTGACCTTCCTTGGTCTCTAGCCTCTCAAAGTGCAGGGATTACAGAAATGAAGCACTGCACTTGACTGTACATACAAATATTTGTTGTTATTTCCAGACAGTAACAACAAAGTTCCTAAAAAAAGAAAGTTTCCAATTACAATAGTATAAAAATAAGAAACTTAATAAAAATAAATATAAAGGGGCAAAGCATGATGGCTCAAGCCTGTAATCCCAGCATATTGGGATGTCGAGGTGGGTGGATTACTTGAGGCCAGGAGTTCCAAACCAGCCTGGCCAATATGGCAAAACCCCATCTCCACTAAAAATACAAAAAGTCAGCCGGGCATGGTGGCACAGGCCTGTGATCCCAGCTACTCAGGAGGCTGAGGCAGGAGAATCGCTTGAATCTGGGAGGCGGAGGTTGCAGTGAGTTGAGATTGACCACTGCACTCCAGCCTGGGTGACAGAGCGAGACTCTGTCTCAAAAAATAAATACATAAATAAAATAAATAAATGTAAAGGATGACATAAAAATGTATACACTAAATACAGTATGATATGGATGACAGATATTGAAGTAGATACCAATAAATGAAAACACATTCCATCAGGATAACTAATATTGTCAAGGAGTATTATCCAAAGTGATCTATAGCTTCAGTGTGATCCCTATCAAAATGTTTGTGGCATTTTTCAGTAATAGAAAATATATTTGTAAAATTTAAGTGTAATCTTAAATAACTTAAAATAACCTGAGCAATCTTGAGAAAGAACAAAGCTGGGGGCATCTATTTTCTAATTTCAAACTTTATTTAAAGGTTATAGTAATCAAGAATATGGTATGTGCATAAAAACAGATACAAAAACCAATGGAACAGAGATACATATATATTTCCTACAACAGTAAACCTTAAGTGTTCTTACTACAAAAAAAAAAAAAGGTTATCTATGTGAGGTAATAGATGTGTTCAGCAACTTGACAATATTGTTTCAAAATGTATATGCATATTAAATCATTACACTGTACACATTAAATATACAGCTTTACAATTTTTATTCATCAGAAAAATCCATATCACACAAACACATATGTATGATAAGTCCTCACTTAATATTCAAAATAGGTTCTTGAAAACTGCATCTTTTTTTTTTTTTTTTGAGACGGAGTTTTGCTCTTGTTACCCAGGCTGGAGTGCAATGGCGCGATCTCGGCTCACCGCAACCTCCGCCTCCTGGGCTCAGGCAATTCTCCTGCCTCAGCCTCCTGAGTAGCTGGGATTACAGGCACGTGCCACCATGCCCAGCTAATTTTTTGTATCTTTAGTAGAGACGGGGTTTCACCATGTTGACCAGGATGGTCTCGATCTCTCGACCTCGTGATCCACCCGCCTCAGCCTCCCAAAGTGCTGGGATTACAGGCTTGAGCCACCGCGCCCGGCTGAAAACTGCATCTTTAAATGAAACAATGTAGCTATATGCCATTCAAACATAACTTGTTTTTATCAATTAAACTCTGGTAAAATTCCTTTTCTTAAACAATATGTTGTTTTAAGTACATTTTCCAAGAACCTATCAACAATGTTAAGTGAGAATTTCCTATATACATATGACTCATATAGATGTGCATATGTGTGACACATATTTCTACATATAGATTATAGCTCAAGTAAGACAAAATTGTAAGATAATAGTTATAATAGTTATTAAGAAATAAGGTAATAAGAGCTTAATATACACTTAGGAACGTTCTAAACTGGTTAATGACACAGTGCATTTAAGAAATCTAGTCGGTGGGCCAGACACAGTGGCTCATGCCTGTAATCCTAGCACTTTGGGATGCTAAGGCGGGCAGACCACTAGAGGTCAGGAGTTCAAAACCTGCCTGGCCAATACGATGAAACCCTATCTCTACTAAACATACAAAAAAATTAGCTGGGTGTGGTGGTGGGTTCCTGTAATCCCAGCTACTCGGGAGCCTGAAGCAGGAGAAGACAGAGGATGCAGCAAGCCGAGGTCATGCCACTGCACTCCAGCCTGGGCAACAGAGCGAGGCTCCATCTGCCTGCCCCCACCCCCAAAAAGAAAGAAATCTAGAAGGTGAGTAGATACTTTAAACCAATAGTATCCAATCCTTTGAGTGTGAGAACATTTTTGCTTATCCGTGCCGATGGATATCACAAAAATTATTCACAAACCTATTTCTTTTTTCCTAGCTCATCAGCTGTAATTATTGTTTGTGTATTTAATAATTTTAAGAGTGTTCCAAGATAAATCTTCCAGTGTGGCACAGGGCAAGCCAAAGTTTGGAAACCTTTGCTTTAAACTGTATTATAATTTGAAATTCTGAATATATAGAGTTTAAATTACAAATATCAGTTTGTTTTAAATGACATTTTGAAGTAAAATAACATATTTTTTCATATTTGGAAAAATGCTGATTTTTGTGCTAAAATTGCTGCATATGAATTTTTGTAGAATTATATTTGCGACCTCTACAGGATGAAAAATCACTAAGCAGAAAAGATGCAACACCTGACCTTGGTGTTCCTGGGATTTCTAAACCAAATCCCATTATGTCTACTACTCACCTTATACATTTTAGGCATGATGCAAAAACAGTAGTTCAAAAAAATATCTTAACATAGAGCTCCTTATTAATATAAATGTCCTACTGTCTCTAAAAGCAATGTAACAGCAGTCTGATTATGCAGCCCCTTATTGAGAAAGTGGACATTGGCTCTCCCTGTAAACTTGAAGGGAGATCACTGAAGAAAAAATGAAAATTCTTGTAAGATTTAAGAGCATGGGACAGAAGATGACTCTACTTGTGAATAGAAGAAAAAATGCAGCCTTTTCAGAAATTACTTTCATTGGCACAGAGCTTCCCAAACTACATTTTAAGGCCTAGCTTCCTTATTCATCTTTGGCCACCTTGCCTGTGTCCTCTCCTTCATTCACTCTCACCTACCTGGGGGTTTGGCTGCTGTCTCATGTATCTTCAAATTGTAGGGCTCTTTTCTTTGCTCCAGATAGGTGACCAGGTCTGGGTTAGAGATCACAACACCTGAGTTAAAAAATAAAAAATAAAAAAAAATAAAAAATTCACATGGCTATTGCTAGAGGATACTCCACTTACCAACCTATTACTATGTTAAGTAGAAGAGAGAAATTATAGAACATTCTAGAAAATCCAAAAATTGTTTGCTGACAGAATCTTTAGAGTATTTAAATATTTTAAACCTGTGGGTTATAAGTTCTACTACCCAGTACTACTGAGTCAAAAATAAGCGGGGCAAATTGGATTTTAAAATGTAAAAATCAACATTTTACGTCATTTAATTTCTAGAATTGCCACTGTCCTATAGTGAAGGACACAAATAAATTCAAGAAAACAGAAGGTTTATGTAATGATGAAACATCCTAAGTATTTTTTTATACCAGCAAACTCCCAATTTTTTCTTGTAGAAAGGAATTGAAATTAAATTCATGCCAATCAGAAGCTCCCAAGAGACATTCTACAAAGAAATAAAATGAAACTTTGAGGAAGTATTAGGAATTATGTATTAAAGTTATCCTCACCCAGGGAGACCAGGTTTCTGTAATTCTCCAACATCACATCTCTATATAAATTCTGCTGGGCAGGATCCAGACATTTCCACTCTTCTAAGGAGAATTCTACGGCCACATCCCTGAATGTTAAGAGTTCCTGAAAACACGGTAAGTGACAGAGTTCTTAATTTGACTACAAGTCAAAGAAGAGAACTAGTTCTGACTTATGGGACTGACAGGAATTATCTGATAAACTAACTTTTAACACAATAATGTTCTCTAAAGTATTCTATAACTCTGAGGAAAAACGAGGGCATGCCAGCAATTTTTGTTGCTGCTATGGAAATATGGGCTATACTGACCTGTCCCTACTAAAACCAAGCAGAGCAGTCCCTCTGACCTCCTGGAACAAAGGGTGAATTCATGTCTTATTAAAGTATCTGGAAGCCCTCATGCTTGACCCAGGCCTCACTGTAATGTCACACGAGAAACTGAATTCGGATGTGGTATCTCCTGTCCCCGATCAACTAATCTGAGGTAGGGTAAGGACAAAAGTACTCTACTCCAGTAACACAGGAAGGCATAGTTGGGATTATGGACTTAGATATTTAGTGGTCTTGACTTCCCACTGCTAAGGTGCTTGTTTACACTTACAGATCCTGCCATAGGACTGTATTCACACCAGAAGCCTCTTACATAGCTGCAGCAGATCTGGAAAACTCAAAGGGCTCCACTCTGAAAGTGGGGCTTAGGATATTTATGTTGATCTCTCATAACACAGAAAATGTTTTCTATGACATTTCTGTATGTCTTCAACCCAAAGTCTGGCCCTGTCTTGTGAATCTTAGGCAGAGGCCAGCTTTTATGTGTAGATTCTAGGTGAGATCGATGTGTGCTGCAATCCTGGAATATAAAGTTGCCCTGAATATACACTCTAATTAGAAGCAGTTACAAGCATATTTTTAAAGGCAAAAAGAAAGTCAGAGAGTAGACTGATAGCTGGCCAGGTGCAGTAGCTTATGCCTGTATCCCAGCACTTTGGGAGGCCAAGGCAGGCAGATCACCTGAGGTCCGGAGTTCGAGCTCAGCCTAATCAACATGAAGAAACTCCGTCTCCACTAAAAGGACAAAATTAGCTTGGCATGGTGTTACATGCCTGTAATCCCAGCTACTCAGGAGCCTGAGGCAGGACAATCACTTGAACCCAGGAGGCAGAGGCTGCGGTGAGCCAAGATCATGCCATTGCACTCCAGCCTGGGCAATAACAGCAAAACTCCATCTCAAAAAAAAGTTGTCAGAAATTCTTATTGGTTAGTGATTGGCCATATATGTTAAGCTACAGGGTGTGGGTTATAGTGTCCAGTGTGGCATTATTAGGTTAATTTATAGCCACTTGTGGCAATTAACAAGGAATTTCAAAAGACAAATAGTTCAATGAGTGGAACAGTATGTGAGTGTGGTCTCATATTAATACATCTGAGTCTCATAAATTTAAAAACGTGTATTTCTCAGATAAAAGTTCTTTTATCAAGTCCCAGAACATAAATTCAGAATTTGGAACTGCCCATTTAGATCTTGGAGGGCTGGTGATTATGCACATTTGTGGCCATTTGGGCAACGGAAGGTGGGAGGGAGCAGAAATTCCCATGTTTAATCAATACATATGTGTGATTATGGTAAGGTTTACGGGCCCCAAATCTCCGAAATCAGTGTCAGAACTGAAGACGCCAGGAGCACTGAAGGAGGTTAAATAACTGCTGTCCTGAAAAGTTATTTTTGTAGAAATTTAGTCTAAGTGCACTACAAAGGACTATAGATTCCAAAGAGAGAGACCATTCTGTTTGCAGATTTGGGAAGCACTTTGCTGTACTTTGTGCACTCTGCTGCACAACTGTGGGTTGTGACTGAAATCTTGAGAAATAACGTTTTCTCAATGGCACTTTGTGTATAACATCTGGTAATTCTGGTCTGCGTGTGGAAAATACAACTAAAAGCAAAATCATCTGCAATTCTAAAAAAGTCTCCACAATAACAGAATTGCAAGAAAATGTTTTGTTGTATAATTCAACGAAAATGTGATGTGCGTCGTAAGCAATCTATTAAGAGACTGCAAACACAGAAAGTCACCATAATCAGTTCTCAAGTAAAAGCCTTGAAGAGTACCATTTGTCATACACAGTTTATTATAATTTCACCTTGTAATTTGGGAAGTCATCTGGATTTTCTAATTTTTTTCTAATATTCAAAGACAGGATACAGATTTGCAATGTGGAGCTAGGTATCTGCTGAAGACAGCCTCCTAGTCTCCTATGGAAACTGTGAAATAGAGTGTATATTCTTGCTATTTACATTTCAAACAATAGTTCCTAGGTCCCAGATAAAGACAATTTTGAGTCAAAAAAGACAAATGACTTATTTACCTGATAAAAATGATTCAAAAATATTTCAAAGAAGCGGAGAAAATATTTAAATACAAAAGTTCTCAAACTAAATGCTTTAAGAAAAAGGAGAAGAGCAAAAATTCCTCCCTCATTCTAAAGAGAAAGCATTAAACCTCTTCTAATTTGTGCTTGCTCCTACAACAGCCAGGCCTAAAGGCATGGTCTTGAACCCATAACATCTGAATTCTCATAGGCACCTAAAGGATGAACATGGGCACACTGAGTGCACAGAAGAGAGAATGTGTGGGAAGGAAAAAGCAGAAGAAAGGAGCTACCAAGAGTCACGGGTGGGAGCAGGGCAGGACTGACTGAAGCACTGGTGTGTGCTACATACAGTACAGGTACAGACCCAGTCAGGGCTACGCTCTGATTCCTGTGTCCATAAAGGAAGAAGAGATTAGGATCAGGTGGTCCAGAAGCCTGGGTTGCTGAAGAAAACAGGTTCCTGCTACATATCCAGTGTCTGGGGTTGAGATAAGCCAGGAGTCTTCTGGGCACTGCCTGTGTTTTTGTCAGAAGGCTAGGAGCAAATGTGCCATGTGCACAATTCTTGAGGGTAAACCCAGTCCTAGGAGTAGTGTGGCCACGCAAATTCCCAGCAGGCGCATTCAGGATTGGGTTAGCATTGGGTGGGGGCTGGCAGCAGGGTGCAGGGAAGGGATGTTTCTCAGAACTCCTTTCCTCTAAGTTCCCAGTCCCCTCTCTCCCCGGGAGGAGACCTGGAGGAACAGGACACTGCCCAGTGGGACAGCGTATGGGCAGAAACCAGCCGAGGCTCCCTCAAGCCCAGACTCAGCCATGTCTTTCTTCTGAGAAAAAACGTCGGGAGTTTGCTCAACACCAGTCAACGCTCCAACCCCAACGGGATGGGACGTCCAACAAGTCACTAACGACACCACCCAGGGTCAGCGCCGACCCCACAAGCTCAGCGCTCTTCCCGCAGCTGCCCCCCGCAGACGCCAGTCCCTGCCTCTGGACACGCGTCTCCAGTTCTGAACGCCTGCCTACAAACCAAGGGCGCCCACACCCTCCTCAGGCTCAATCACGTGGCAGAACTGCTCAGAACTCAGCGCAGCGCTGGGCGCACCTACGCCGGTGGATTCGAAAAGACGCCCCTCAGGAACGCCACGCGGGGGACACGCACAGGGCGAGGGAACCGGCGGGAAAGTCGGGGCGGGCGGGTGATTCGCTTCGCTCCCTCACACACCTCACAAAAGCCTTTCCTTCAAGACCCGCGGGCAGCCCCCAAACCACGAGCCACGGCCGGGGCCGTCCCATCCCCGAGTCCCCGTTTGCTCACAGGAACTCCATGTTTCCACGGAGCCTCCATCTAATTCCGAACGGGGTCCAGTAGCGACGGGACCCCGGACCACAGCGCCTCCCACGCAGGCACCGCGCACGCCGCGCCGGCGTCTTCCCGATCGGCTCCTCCTCACCTCACAGCCCGGGGACGCTGCGGGTGCGGGCGCAGAGCTGCACAGGAAGGGCTGCAGGCCGGGCCAGAGCCGCCGTGCGGGGGCCGACGGGAGCCCGGGTCCCCCACCGGAGGGGACTGAGGACCGACGGCCGAGCGGCGGCGGCGGGGACTCGGCTCACACACTCGGTCCCGCCGCCGCCGCCATTTCCCGCCGGTTCCGAGGAGGCCTCCCCGGCCTCGGGACGCCCTGCCCCGCACACTCACCATTTCTGGGCTTCAGGGTGTCGCGGAGTCTCAGCTGCGAATCATGCGAATCAGCTCACAGAGCGACGGAGGCCGAGGCTGTGGCAGAGTCACCCGGGCCTCCGGAAGCCGAGGACACAAGTCGGTAAACACCTAACCCGCGCCCTAGCAGGAGCCAGAGGAAAAGACTTTGCCAGATCCCGGAAGCCGCCCCCTTCTCTCTGGCTGCGTGCGTGATTGGGCAGTTGTCGCTCCATCACTCTTGGATGTGGCTCCAATCCCCGCCCTCAGGCCTTGAGTGACAGAAGTTGCAACCATACACTCCACATCATGAGGCACCAGTGTCAGGCTCGGGCCTCCAGGCGCTTACAGGCTTTTTCTCCGTGCCTGGCCTGATGCAGCCCCGGGGTCATTTTTAACCTTGTGGTGTGTAAGGTCCACTTATAAAGTACACGCAAGCATGCACACAGACGTACATTTATACAGACACACGCGCTCGCATACACAGACGTGCATGCGCACACACACGCCGCGCGCGCACACACATGGATGCACAGACACACTTTTTCACAAATGGAAATAGTATAATGACAATTATTTTAATATTTTACATTTCATAACCCCTCTGGCCGCTTGTCTTTTGAGTAGGACACCTGAGATTTTAAGAGGGAGGCAATCCTGTAAAAAATAAAATGTTAGCTATTTGTGAATTTTCCATTTTTATTATCCACGTCAAAAATAACTTTAAAAAGTGAAATTGTAATAATTTTTAACCCATTGTATCAAAAAAATTGTGATCAATATATAATTAATAACAAAGTATTTTTTGACCTAAATCTCTTCTAAACTCACTGTGTTTTTTATGTTTGCAGCACATTTTACTTAAATCCAGCCACATTCCAGGTACCCAGTAGCTGCATATGTCAGGTGGCTGTCACACTGAGTGCTGCCATAAGGCCTCTGATCTCAGGGAGGTGAGGGCCTGAACACCTCTTTGCTGCTGGAAGTGAGGGAACAGCCTCTCTCTACCAACTTTTCTCCTCAGGCTTCACTGTGGGATGGGACAGTGCCCATAAAGAGAGCAGTGGCTGCAATCTGAGAGTATCCACGTGAAGACCACGGTTTCCCAGTTGCTGTTTGGTGGAGGTGTGGTGGTCTCCTCAGTTCAGCCACGTCTGGACTCTTGTGCCACGACCAAAAAGAATGGAGCACACTGATGCTAGACAGTGAGTAAGGCAGAGTGGATTTATTAAGCAGAAGGAAAGCTCTTAGCAGCAAGAGGGGACTTGAAAACAGGTTGGCAGAAATGAGGCTGAGTTCTAGGTCTTTTGTGTGGCAAGAAAAAGGAAGTCTTCTGTGGGTTCTGCCCAAATGGGAGGGCTGAAGTTCCCCATTAAGGGTACTGCTTCTGCACATGCCTGGGGTTGGCCACAGCGACTCCATTTTGGTTATTACCCATGAGTGCCTAAGTGAAATTTACAGGAGGGGAGCTAAAACCGCTATGCTAATGTCATGTTAATGACTTTATAATGAGCCGGGTCAAGTTAAGGACATTTAGGTTGACTTATTGCCCCTTTGCCCAAGCTGGGACAGTCCCTTAGGAGCAACATCCTGGCACAAGAGGAAGTTCTTAACCACATTTATTAAGTGGTATGTGATCCTATAAGCCACAACATGCCTCTACTTTCAAAAGACTAGCCACCAAGTCCGGGATGGAAATACAAGAATTGTGATAGAATCCAATCACCTAGTTTGTTGATTGGAGAGGATTTCATTTCTGTAGGTATCATCAATTTTCTCACTTCTCCCCATTTATTGTACAGGTTCCATCTTTTGTCCTGCAGCCCTTTCACCAAATCATAACCCAGGAGAATGGTGAAGGCACAGAGAGTGATAAGCTGCTTCATAACAATCTTTACTAAAGAACAAAAAGCAACAACTTTCTGTCTCTGAGTTACAACTGTCTATTTTAACTTAGAAGACTCAAAATTCAAAATTAATAATTACTTATATTAAAATATTTTGCCTGTATACAAAAGTAAAATATTCCAGCACTTTGGGAGGCTGAGGTGGTGGATCGCTTGAGGTCAGGAGTTCGAGACTAGCCTGACCTATATTGTGAAACCCTGTCTCTACTAAAAAAATATCAAATTAGCCAGGCATGGTGGTGTATGCTGGTAATCCCAGCTACTTGGGAGGCTGAAGCAGGGGAATTTCTTTTTTTTTTTTTTTTGAGTCGGAGTTTCGCTCTTGTTACCCAGGCTGGAGTGCAATGGCGCGATCTCGGCTCACTGCAACCTCCGCCTCCTGGGTTCAAGCAATTCTCCTGCCTCAGCCTCCTGAGTAGCTGGGATTACAGGCACACGCCACCATGCCCAGCTAATTTTTTGTATTTTTAGTAGAGACGGGGTTTCACCATGTTGACCAGGATGGTCTCGATCTCTCGACCTCGTGATCCACCCGCCTCGGCCTCCCAAAGTGCTGGGATTACAGGCTTGAGCCACCGCGCCCGGCCAGGAGAATTTCTTAAACCCAGGAGGCAGAGGTTGCAGTGAGCTGAGATCGTGCCATTGCACTCCAGCCTGGGCAAAAAGAGTGAAACTTTGTCTCACAAAAAAAGTAAAATATTATCCTTAAGTTTTATCTTAGAAAACTATATTATATTCTATAAACAGAGTCAAATAAATTAGTTTTTCTTCAGCCATGTTAAGATGCACTATTGTATTCATAGCTTAAGAAAGAATAAGTATGGACACAAGAGCTTGTTTTCCTTTTCCAGACTTAAAATTTGTGATATAAAAGTTAACTGAATTGAGAGAGTTTCAACTGGGTTTCCACATCATTTTCCACAGTGGAATCATCTGAGGCATAGAATTCAGTGTACTCACAAATAGCTTTGAGATACCATCCTTTGAGTTTGTCTGGAGAATATGCCAAGCTTTCTAACAGCAAGCAGACTGACGCATCAGCATAGAGATCAGGTGTAGTTGAAGAGCTCTTGAAACACATATGCCTTATACAAAGCACCTGAAAATGTCAGACAGCAAGGTATAGAAATCACCAAAGTAATTAGGCCAGTGACTGTATCATTGGTTGTAACTATCAGTCAATGTCTACCTCACATTTAACCAGTGGTAGCAGTGAACATAACATTCAATTGTAGGTGGAGAGATTAGAAATTCTGCCCTCCAAAGAATGTCATCCTTTTCTCAATTGAGAAAAGCCCCTCATAAGGACTTTTCTCAGCTGCTTGTACATAATTTAAATCTACTCTCTCCTATGTCTTTTGTTACAAGCAATAAAAAATGCAGTTATAGTCTAGTTGGAAAGAAGCTTGGAGTTGGAAGATCTGGGTTCAAGTTCCACCTCTGCACTTACTACATGTAGCCTTAATAGGGTTCAGTTCCTTCTTCTGTAAAAAAGGGTTAATACAAACCTCATAGAATTGATGTGTTTTAAATATAGGTAAGCATTCACATATAGAGGTTTTTGAAATTTTCTTTACTTTTCCATAAATTATAGCCAATTCATCTTTTTGTTCAAGTTTCTCCCTCATAATATTTGATGTATATGGCTTCCAATGGTGACTGCTTTAAAGGATGGTGTACATTCAAATGCATGAACATGGACTTGTGTTAAGTTTTTAAAGACCAAACTCCTTTTGTTGCTTCTCTCACATGGTATGATATACTGACAATGTCTACACGTTTTTTTCAAAGTATTTTCATATACCTTCTTTTGAGCAATACAAATGGACCTTGTGAGATATGGAGTATATGGGCTATTACCCCAATTTTAAAGGAAAAAAAAAAAGTTCAGTCAGAAGTTGAAGGTCCCATGAAGGGTAACAGAGGCCATTCCTGATTGATCTAATTTAATCTTTATAATTCAAGAATCCTCCCAGCCAAAACAATCTCAAGCTGCCATGTGATTGAACCTGAGGAGGGTGTGGGTGCCCTTGGTTTGTAAGCAGGTGTTCAGAAATGGAGACGCGTGTCCAGAGGCAGGGACTGGCGTCTACGGGTGACAGCTGCAGGAAGAGCGCTGAGCTTGTGGGCTATCTGATTTTATGCAATTCATTTTGTGAGTAACACCACAGAAGAATTGAGTAGGATACTGGTTTAACCATGGGCATAACTTTTTTTTTTTCAGTATTGAAGAGTAAAACTAAAGTTTGTTCACTAAGATGTTTGATTCAACCCCAGTACCGGAGACACATGTGGCCAAAGTCAGCTCTTGAGGGTGTTCTACCAGGAGGTGCTATAATTAGATCTGGACCCAGAGAATTAGAGAAAAGGCACAATGAAATTCACAACAGCAGCTGCTACATTTAAAAATTTTAGAGCTATTTTGAAATCATTTTCACTTGCCCAGCTTTTTGGACCTGTAAGTCTCTCTTCACTGTTTCAACACATCCTACAGAGTTTTCAATTAGTATGTGAAACCAAAAGGTCCAGAGTGTTCTAGTCTGATACAAATCATCCCTAACTAAAATTATTCTAGTATTGATGCAGAATAATTGAAAAAAGTTCAGTCAGAAGTTGAAGGTCCCATGAAGGGTAACAGAGGCCATTCCTGATTAATCTAATTTAAGCAGGAGCAGTGAGAAACAACCTCTCGAACACCAAACGGAGGAAGGAAGTGGCCTTTTGTTGTTGTTTTTTGTTTTTTTTTTTTTTGAGACATAGTCTTGCTCTGTTGCCCAGGCTGGAATGTAGTGGTGCTATCTCAGCCTACTGCAACCTCCACCTCCCAAGTTCAAGTGATTCTCCTGCCTCAGCCTCCTGAGTAGGTGGGATTACAGGCACCCACCACCATACACAGCTAATTTTTGTATTTTCAGTAGAGACGGGGTTTCACCATGGTGGTCAAACTGGTCTCAAACTCCTAATCTCATGATCCGCCCACCTCGTCCTCCCAAAGTACTGGAATTTCAGGCATGAGCCACTGCACCTGGCTGGAAGTGGCTTCTTATTTGGCCGGGAGCCTAGGGTCAGTGGGGTGGGGGGCTGGCTACAGTCTCATTCACTGAGCTCCCTGAGAAGCAGCTTCTCTCCCTTTTTATAGGCTTACAACGCTAAAGGGTAAACTAAGGTGAAACTATGTCATTGTCCATTTGCTGGACATTCAATCTTACAATCCTTTGGCTTCATTGATTTGCTAATTTATATGCAGCATGAGGGGGAGGGTGCTAATTTATATGCATCGT